TTATTATTATTATTATTATTATTTTTTTTTTTTTTTTTTTTTTTTTTTTGTTTTGCTGCTGCTGCTGCTGCTGCTGCTGCTCATATTTTTCTTCAGTGGTACTTTACTGGACTTGCTACTGACTCATGGCTTGCTTAGGCCTAAAAGTGTTACTGATTTAAGAAGAAAAAAACCATGAAAATTTCACATGACACCCATGTACTGCATATGAAATCATGAACTTTGCATTAGCGTAAGGTGATGTTGTGTAGTTGATGAAATAAGTGCTTGACAAATGATATTTCTTAGCATAATTAATATTATAGCTTTAATACTAATACAGTAATAGGTGTTATATATTTTTTTTTTGAGTATTTTATATCTTGAAGTTCATTTTGATCAAAAATCTTTCTTTGTGCACTTTCAGCACTGGACAACAAAAAGGGAACTGAGTGTGACATATAATCAAACTCATCTATGTATTTTTTTTATCTTAAATCCATTATACATTTTCAAAGTATGAGATATGCAGACTTGATAACAGGATCTGGCATTATAATATGATGTTCTTAATTTCACTGGACCAGATAACTTTAACCAATTTAAAACTATAGTTTTTATTTCCATTTTGTATAATTTACTGATTAGATATTAAACCAGTTATTATTTTGATACATACAAATCTTGACCTGTCCTCATATGACAACATTTCCATCCACAGTATCATCCTAGTAACCCTCCTCTGAACCCTTTCCAACAATTCAGTGTCCCTTCTGAGGTAAGGAGCTCAAGGCTGAACACTAACCAATAACGTTATAATCTCTCTAGATGTGTTTTTAAAATTTCTGCAGATACAACCTACAATCCTATTTTCCCTGCCACTAACAACAGCACATTGCTTAAATAGCTTAAGAGACTGATCAACCAGAACACCAACATTTTTTTCCATAACACTGTTAAGGTTATTTTCATCAAAATTATTCTCATAATTTAAATTATGATACCCCACATGCATTACCATGGATTTATTATCAATAAAAGCTATCTGCCATATATTTGCCCAACTCACCAAATAATCCAAATCCCTTTGTTAGGCAGTAGGATCCTCCTCACAGCCAACAACACCCGAAACTTTAATGTCATTAATATAAGCCAAAAAGAGAAAAGGTCCTAACTGAAAGATGCCAGAGATTAGGAGAAGAATTGTATATGGAAGTACGTTTTAAAATATAAATTGAAAATAACCAAGTGTATCAGAAAAATTTGGTGTAAAACTGTAAATTTTTATTAAAAAAATTGTCAACATCATGTTACATTTGCAATATTTTTATGTTTAACATAGTAGTACATATATATATTGTAGTTTATGTGTTTATTTATATTTGAATAAATAAGATTAAGATTAATTATTACTGTAATGAAGATGTAAAAATATATGTGTAAATGTAGCCATTTGTTTAATTACTGAGTACCCAGTGCAGGAAGGCAGTTATCAGTGGCTAACTTAGCTCTTGTTAGATTTTCAAGTGGTATCTTTTGTCTTCATTGTCATTTTAAGGTTAAAATACAAGAATAATCTAATTTATTGCATAAAAGTAACCATCTGGTAGTTTATTTAAGAACTCTGGTATTATGAATATGTCATATTTTTTTGTTTATTTTAATATAAACCTTCTTAGTAAGGAAAGCTTCATATTACCTCATATTTTAATGAGCAACCACATATCAGCTGTGTTTAAAAAAATGTTTTAATCCTTGTTTTATATATGTGAAAAAGACTTTGAAATCATAGAATATTAATATTACCTGAAGTACAGCTGATTATGTGACAGGTGAACTTCTTAAGCTTGAATTTTATTTCATAAGAATGATGGGTGGCATAGTGTTGATATCTGAAGATATTAATTGTGACAACAATCATTGGTTCTGTTACATAAAATGTCACAGCTTGTGCACATTACAAAAATTGTAATTATTTTCAGCTCAGCTGAGCGATGCTGACTGTGACAAATGAGGAACTAATGCTAGTTTTGTTAAAAGCTGTGTAGATGACTTTTGGTTGTTGGACTCATTACAAAAACACTGTGGACTGACTTTAGGTTTCTTTTTACTTCCACGAATTGTGAGGAATCTTGCTGTGATTAGCACTAAATATATATATAATGTGCTTCTGTAGATTGTGTAATAAAATTAAATCGTTATATCAGTAACATATAAAATAAGAAAGTTCTTTGAATATTTTATTAGAATAGGATCAATACCATGAGAAAATATATTTCAAATGTTGAACTGTACATATAAATAGGGATTTAGTATTTATATTCATTATTGTAGACTAACTGAAGGAGAACTATGTTGAAAGGAAATAATTTTTTGTTCACTTGTGGGAACTAATTTGTTCTTTGTTGTTGTTTTTATAATAGAAGCACAACAGAACAATAATGCTATTCAAAACCAGATGGCAACAGAAAAGGTAGGAAAATAACTATACATTATGTCATAATGAGTGAAAAACTTAGTGTAAATGTTTGTTTAGTACCATTCCAGCAAGAACAGTTTTTATTCATGTTTAATACTACTTAGGTTAATAAACTGATGACTTATTCCTTTCAGAACTTAATTAATTGGAGAAGTCTGAAAAGCAAATTTTGTCCTCGTAGAGTATAAAAATATTTCTAATAGTGTGAAATTGAAGTGATGAAATTCCAATTTTGTTCTTAAATTATATATATGGAGATCTCAGAAGCTTGTTTTTTATACAATTAAACAGGTAAAAAGACCCCTATGGGTTAAGTAAAGGCAAAATAAGAAATGAACCTCTGAATAGAGTAGTTCAAGTTCACAAGTAATGAAATTTGTACAAGTGGTCCAATTTTTTTGAGTAGAATAATGATTGTGTTTCCTTTATACCTATCACTACAGCTATCCTTTATTGCACATGACACGAGGTTTTAGTGTCTTACATTCAAAATTTTATTAAACTACTTTTCGTTTATATTATACCAATTAAAATAGCATAAAATCTTAGCTAATAATCCATGTTTTAATAGTATAGAAGTTTTAAGTTAAAAATTCTACAAGGCAATATAAAAAAAAATCCTGAATTTCCTCTAGTGTGACCCATGTGACGCATTTTCTTTTAGCATGTTATCTTCCATATTTTATTCACCACCCCTCGAAAAAGTACGATATTAAACATAAATTACTTTCTATAAAATCATCATTGCTCAGACAAACCATAATTTTTAGTCATCAATTTTATTTGGTTACAGAGCTATCGAATAGAAAATCAGACCCCCTACTGCCACACCTACTTGTCACACCCTCTCTTTCAGAATTCGTTAATAGTTCTCTTTTACGTTTAATTATATATTACTTCTAACCAATTAAAATTTGAGGTTTTCATCTATAAAATGAGATGTTGTGTAACATTATGTTCTGAATGGTTAAATGTCAGTTTCACTCAGAGAACCAATATCGTTCCCATGAGAAAGTTAACAACTAGCTTGGATGAATTTATAACGACTCTTGTTGCATAGTTAGAAAGCAAAAAAATTTTTAGAGGTAAGGGAATTTGTCTACTTTTTGCATGTTGTTAGTCTATATTCTTTGTTGCATTATTTAATTAAATAAAAATTATTAAGTGCATTACTATCATTAGTATAAAAATTAGGGTTAACTCTCTTCGACAATTGACAACAAGAAAACAGAAGATTGGTTAAGTATTTTATTTCTTGTTACAATATGAAGTCATTCTAAAAAGAAAAAAAGGGTAATTTAGATTTATTTCAATTTTTGTGTAGGTGGTTATGAGGTCAGTCGAATTGACTGATTCTGTTTTGAGATAGGATAGAGAAACTAACAGATAAACTATAAAGTTTTAATGAAAAAAAAAACGTTTGAAACGCATTTAGGAGGTTTTAGGGATTATACAAATGAAATTTGAGATTTTTTTGATGAGGAAAAGTATTTTTCAATTTTAACATGAAAATTACTTTGCACATGAACTATTCAAAACAAATACTCGATATATTCTTGGACAAATCTTTATTTTATTTTGTTAAAAACACTTCACTAAAAAATATGATTTTTTTTATGTGAAACACTTACAATATTAACTGAAAGGCTGCCAGCTATATTGAATGTTAAAATTATTAAATCTATAAAGACTTTAAACAAGTACAAAGAGGTCATGTGGTCGGTCAAATTGACTGAGGCCGTGTTGAGAGAGTTAAGAGAGACTAATGGTAATAAAAAAAAAAAAAAAAACTCATGGTTTACTTTTTTTACCTTCATCTGTTTTAAGGATTATAAAATGTTTCAATTCAGTCAGTGCTTAAAAGTAGTTGATTTTATACGTGATTTATCTCTGTTTATTTCAATAGAAAATAAATTATATGTAAATAACATTATTTCCTGTTCACGAACATTTCTGTAAATTCACCTCAGTAGCTCTAAGTAATATTAAGTAAAATTTATATAAATTGACAACAATTTTATATAGATGCTCTTTGTCAGACTTGACTGCTTCACAGTTACTTTAAGTAAGAACTATTATTAAACATAAAAGAACAAGTTTGAGCCATGCTGTATTTATAACTTATTACAATAATATTAACTTTCAGTATTGCAGGGCCCGGCAAGGCCAGGTGGTTAGGGAGCTCGACTCGCAATCCGTGAGTCGCGGGTTCGAATCCCCATACCACCAAACATGCTCGCCCTTTCAACCGTGGGGGCATTATAATGTGACGGTCAATCCCATTATTTGTTGGTAAAAGAGTAGCTCAAGAGATGGTGGTGGGTGGTGATGACTAGCTGCCTTCCCTCTAGTCTTACACTGCTAAATTAGGGACAGCTAGCGCAGATAGCCCTCGTGTAGCTTTGAGTGAAATCCATAACAAACAAACAAACAGTACTGCTAAAGTATATAACAAGTACTCATAAGAAAACTAAGAGATGAAAAATGGTTATACTATAATTGTCTTAAAAATATAATAAGAAATATTTTTTCTGTTCGAGAAAATAAGCTTATGTTTTACAATTTCATACTTTTGTGTCATTTGGAGTTATAATAAATCTTTCATTGGTATCTTTCATCTTTTCTAGAGATTAGCACAAGAAAAACTGGAATTTTTAACCAATGAAAAGCAGGAACTTGAGGTAAATTTAGAATATATATATATATACTTATAGTTGCATCTATTAATACATAAAAATATATATATATATATATAACCATTTATTACAGAAAATTTAGTTTCTTCTGAGGAAGTACACTGAATTAGAAATGTTTAACTACATTACTAGCTAAGGAAGAAACATAGTTAACATACTGAATAATTCTTAAGTATAAATATCATAAAATATTGTTTTTTGTATGTAATTGATAGTACTATGTTTAGACTTTATATCCAAATGTGTGTGTATAGTGTTTATATTGTAGTTTATACCAGTTGTAAATTCTTTAGCAGTAGAGTATTGAAAGTAATTATGGAAACAGTAAATAAAATGGGTATACAATGCAAGTATTATGGGATTACTCCTCTCTGTATTGTATGAAAAGGAACTGCACCAGAGTACAATATATGTTTAGCTTACGTTGTAATTGGCTGTCATCTAATCAAATTGGATAGTGTCACACTGTATATTGTCTGTAAAAAGTATGGTCAACTATACTGTTCCCAGAAATAGGTGAATGTACTTTTGGCACCTGGAGCAGAAATGCTATATTACAAGTGTTTAGAAATGAAATTTTTGGCTAGAGAAGGCAACTCAGAGTATAGAAACTCTGAATGTTAAAAGACTTGACATGTTTCAGTATAAATACTTTTAAGGATGTATAAACTTACAAAATTCAATTCTCAGGAATATTACAGGATCTTTGGAATTATATTTCACAAAAATACGTTAATAAAAACAATATGCATTACTCTGTTTAAAGTAAATACAAAATACTAGTGCATTATATAGCTTAATCACATTTATTTTGTATTTTATGTGGTAATGTATTATTACTGATGATAAATTGACCATGTAGTTACAATTACTCATTGTTTGTGACTCATTTTTTTCTGTATCACTTTTGCATCTTTGTAATTACTTCCAATACTATAGAATATATTAACTTTTTTTTTTATAAATAGTTGTACCTTATGTATATTTTGTATGTTTGTTGGAAAAGCAAAATATATTAAATTATAAATAAAAAGTACATGTGTACAAGTAAAGGTACACTTTTGTTTTACCAAAATTTCTCTATATTACACTTCTTTAATCTTAATCTACATGAAGTTGCTTTTGTATTTGACAATCAATTTTAGGAGAAGTGTGATGAGTCTGAGAAAAAGCTTAACCTGCTGATGAATGTAATAGACCAGTCAAAGCAGAACTTATCACATATGGAAGAGGCTAAAATGAAGATACAGTCAGATATGTACAATCAGCTACAGATTATTAGGCAGCAGAAGGATGAACAGATTGGTAAACTGGAAGGTGAAATATAAACACTAATTGAATTTCAGAGTTTGAAATAACGATAAACAGTTGGGAATTTACCAATCAAATGTAGGAAATGCAGAAAAAATTTAAAAATTTAATTTTTGACTAATAAATTTGCATGTAAAATTACAGTAAAAATTATTTTATGAAATCATTTTAAATTAAAACATTCACTAAAATTAAGTGTAAGAAAGCATAAGCATAATTGATCAACTTTATATGTAACTTATCATGTCTTGATACAATGTGTGTGAAAGACAGACACATATTTATGGAATGTGAAGTAACAAATCATAAATTATACTTCCAAAATGGTACTACCACCTATCACCCAAAGCTATCTTGATCCTGGTCTGCCCTCTTAGCATTGCTAAAAAAAACTTTTGCTACAGCACACCAGTCTTTATACCCCATCAGTTTTGTGCCATTTCAGAATGTATTGATCATGTGACTACTCTCTACCAATTGTACTGTGCCATTTATACTGGTGCACCTAGCTCCCTCTACTTTTCTAGAACAATCCTCACTTTCTTTGTTGCCATTCTAGTATGTAGACGTGTTTTAACTTGCTCTCCATGTGACTATAAAATTTTGATTGTGCTTAATCATAAATTTATATCAGTTCCAATTTCAATTTTTTGTGTTTGATTTCTGTTGTTTCCACTCGTTTCTTATAGAAATATTTCTGTTTTCCAAATTCTGATTTGTTCATATGAATTTGAGATTTAATATGGTGGATGATGAAATACCCGTGATAGTCAACAATGGTTCTGATATGAGTCCCTAGATCTCAGGATTGATGATGTCTGCTGGAGAAGTACAGGCCTTTGTTCACGGGAAGTTCGTGTCTTACATTTGGCCGATGATTTCTTCCTATCATGTTACGAGTTTTTGGGAAAAAGGATATAACTACTGAATGGAAATTTATTTCTACTGCACCTTCCACCTGTTACTGCTGTTCATGTAATCTCCTGGGTTAGTTATTGTTCCTTTTCCCTGTAAATCTATGTAAGTTTTTCAGCATGTATTCCTCACTCCCAGTAGGTATACCCATGTTTAGCAAGTTTATGTGAGCTTGTGTGGATTAACCTAATTTCCTCACGTGATAACTTAGGTTTTTCATGTCTTCTCTGCTCAGTATTTGGTATGTTAGAATTTTATAATTTTTTTACCATCTAAGTTAATTCAGTTTGAATTTGCATTTAGAGTTTGATTGTTACTTTGTTTTTGTTCAATTTATGGTATATGTACAGGTTATGCACAATAGTTACTGTTTCAGTAAATGTAACTTCAGCCAATTTTTTATTTATACTTCCTTTCACTGTTTGTTAGTTAACACTCTCAATAAGGGCTTGGTCAATTTGACCGACCACGTGACCTTTTTTGTACTCATTTAAAGTCTTTATAGATTTATACTTATAACTCTCAATATAGTGGGTATATTTTCACGAAATTTGGCAGTCTTTCAGTTAATATTATAATACATCTTTCGCACATAAAAATCATATTTCTTAGTGAAGTATTTTAATAAAATAAAATAAAGATTTGTTCATGAATATATTGAGCATTTGTTTTGAATAGTCCATGTACAAAGTAATTTTCATGTTAAAATTAAAAATACTTTTCCTCATCTCAAAAATCTCATATTTCCTTTGTGTAATCCCTAAAACCTTCTAAATGCATTTCAAACGTTTTTTTTTTTCTGTAAAACTTTATAGTTTATCTGTTATTTTCTCTACTCTATCTCAAAAATGGGCTAGGTCAATTCAACTGACCTGGTAACCACCAAAACGAAAATCAAAATAAACCTAAATTGCCCTTTTTTTTTCTTTCTAGAATGACTTCAAATTGCAACATGAAAGTACATTCGTTTATCCTAAGTAGCTGTAAGTTCATAACATTATACATCTATTTATAATTAAATGTTATTGTTTTATTGCCCTTTGCACCGTGTCTAACTATTATCTGCATCATTGTAAATCACTCTGGAAACATGCAGCTCATGTTATGCTATCACATTTCATTACCCACGAGCTGCTCGCATGAGTGCCTTATGAACCATTTTAATTATATTATTATTATTATTATTTATTTTACCTAATCTAGTCTTAAATAACTTAGAAAGATTCGTATTTTTAGATTTAATTACTTTTACAATAATAAATAAAGCATAAATATGAAAAACAAGAAATAAAGAACTTACCTAATCTTTTTTCTTGCTCTCGGGTTTCGAAGGAGTTAAGCCTAATTTTTTATAGTAATGATAGTAATGCATTTAATAATTTTTATTTAATTAAATATTGCACCAAATAATATAGACTAATAACATAAAAAGTAGACAAATTCCCTTAACTCTCAAAATTTTCCTGGCTTTCTAACTATGCGACAAGAGCCGTTACAAATTTATCCAAGCTAGTTGTTAACTTTCCCACGGGAATGAATCTTGTACTATGAGTGAACTTGACAATATTCTGTTCAGAATACAACATTATACAATACATCATTTGATAGATGGAAACCTTGACTTTCTATTGGTTATAGGTAATGTATAATGAAACATAAGAGAAAACTGTCAACGAATTGTGAAAGAGAGAATGTGACAGGTGGGTGTGGCAGGAGGGGTATGATTTTCTAATCGATAGCTCTGTAACCAAACAAAATGTAAGACTATAAAAATTATGGTTTGTTTGAGCAATAACGATATTATAGAGAGTAATTTATGTTTAATTTCGTACATTTTCGAGGAGTGATGGATAAATTGGGATTATGACATGCTAAAAGAAAATGCGTCACATGGGTCACACTAGTGGAAATTCATGATTTTTTTTTTTTTAATATTCCCTTGTAGATTTAAGAACTTAAAACATTTATACTCGTAAAATATGGATTATTATCTAAGATTTTATGCTATTTTATTTGGTATAACATAAACAAAAAGTAGTTTAATAAAATTTTGAATGTAAGAAACTAAAACCTTGTGTTATGTGCAGTAAAGGATACCCGGGGCGATAGGGTTAATTCGTAAATTCCTTTATATTTACTACTAGTCACATCTAACTGGGAATTAGATTTGAGTTCAATTTTGTTATTGTTAACTGGGTGCCTTTTCATTGTCATTCTTCATGGTAGGTTTTACTTTTGTGTCCTTTGTATTATTAGTTCTTTGAGTGGACATATAAGTTCTATATTTACGTGTCTTTTAAATTCCTTTAGTTGTTTTGTATTTTAGGTGTTGTTTATGGTTTTATGTTTTACATCAAATTTATTGTTTGCAAATTTATTTTTATGTACTTTATAGAATCTACAAATTCTTAGTTTTTTAGTAATCAGTACTTTCTCTAAGTATGTTTTGTTTATGTTTTTTGGCTACACTTCACAACAGTTCTGTGGGTTCTACGGGTTCTGTCTGAAGGTTTCTTCCTTCAGTTCCACTCCTCCCCCATCCACTTCCCAGATCTCCTTCTCTCCTCCTTAGGATCATACCTTCTCCAGTCATCTTGCCTAATCTGTTCAAGACCTACTATACAAAGGGGCTGTTGAACATTTGGTACCCAATCAACTGGGGTTTTAATCCTGTCTAATTGTTGTCCCTTGAAAAACAGGAGATTGGAGACCCATCATAGACCAGTCCTAGTTGACCTCTTATCTGGAGCCACCTTGCTTCACCATGGAGTCCTACTTCTTACTTCAGGAGTTTTATTCACCAGGACTCTTGATAACCAAATTATAGTGAGGGATACCTATCTTAGTTGTTTTCTTTGGATTGTCCACAAGAGTCATGTCTTCTAGTTCTGGGTGCTACCATTCAGTCCTTTGGCTCCATGTGTTTTGTCAAGTGGAAGCTCTTTTGTCCATGATTTTCACTGATTAAGTCGTTGGACTCTCCTTTACATGAACGACTGGCTCCTGCTCACCTCTTCCTGTGCCCAGTCGGTCAGTCACACCTGCTTACTTCTTTGGGAAGCTAATTGGGTTGGGTTTTGTGATCCAGTTGGAGAAGGCCATTCTTAACCCCAGTCAATGTCTTATTGCATTGGGTTTTTTATTCAATTCCCATCTTTGTCGGGCCCAGCCTTCTCCAGTTCGGCTAAAGGATATGGAGTGGGGGTGTCTCAATGGCCATACTCTCTCCTTTTCTCACTACATGAAGGTTCTCTCTATTCTGGGGATGTGGGCTTCCCTAGAACCTATCATTCCCTTGGGTCAAGCTCACAACCTCCCACGATCCCTTGGACCATCCCGTTACCCTTCCACCTGGAATCAGGGCCAATCCTGCTTGGTGGCTCGAAAGGGAACTCACCACGGTGGGGGTTTCCATCCCTCCACCTTGTCCAGAGTATCATCTGTTTATTGATGCTTCCTTCCTGCATTAGGGGGGTTTCCTCAATTACAAAAGATATTTCTGGTCAATGGTATGTCGAGGAGGCTACTCTCCATTTTCAACATTCTGAAACTTTTGTTAGTTTTTCGGGTTCTGTATCATTTCCTCCCACTCTTGAGGAGGCGGGTGGTTATGGTTCACTCTGAATATTCCACTGTCATCAGCTATATCACCAAGCAAGGGGGAACCAAATCCAGATATCTGTGTTTTCAGGCTCTGGATCTTCTTTACTGGGCCCATGACCACTTTATAGCAATCTTGACATGTCACGTTCCTGGCATTATGAATCTGGTGGCTCATCTTGGCCCAACCAGATTCTCCCTGGCCACTCCACCATGGCAATGTGGGATTCTAGCTTTGGGTGAGAAGAGGTAGTACTGCTTCGAAAGTTAACATTCTTGACTCTAAAATTGTTTTTCCAATAGGTACTTCCACTCACCCACTTCCCACTCTTCCTCCCTACTGAGATGCTGGTGTTTATGGTTTTTACCTGCCAATTCTTGAAAGTGAGAATGTTCTAGAATAGTAGTGGGAGCTAACTGTGCCACGTATAGATGGTGCAGTACAATTGGTAAAGAGTAGTCACATGATCAACACTTGTTCTGAAATGTCGCAAAGCTGATGGGATATAAAGACTGGTGCGCTGTAGCACAATTTGTTTTTAGCAAAGCTTAGAGGACAGACCAGGATCGAGATAGCTTTGAGTAAGAGGAGGTATGTACCTATTGGAAATAAATTTTCAGAGTAAGAAAATGTTAACTTCTATTGTATCTACCTCATTCAAACAGAGCATAGGAACCCATTAGTGTAAAATAAAATCTGAAGTAATTCATAATACTATAAAGTGAATCGGTGAGATGTACTTAAACAGTGTTTGTTTTAAATCCTACAGTATAAGAAGTAAACAGTATGTAGCTCATTTGTATCGATTACATAATTTATTTTCTTTCATCATTAAAAGCTTCGCTATTCTTGTAAAATGGTTGGATATTTTTTATCCTTTTTTAGGTTATTCAAATTCCACTGGACTTTGTTGTTTATAATTAACATCATCACCACTTATGCAAGTGCCATTAAGCAGTATAAAAAAATTCTGAAACAATTTTTTTTTTCATACTTATAGTTAAAAATTAATGTTTGACAAACAAAATCCTTATTTTCAAGCTCTGAAATATGGAAAATATTCGCATTTTCATGAAAGTAAAGATATTGTGAAATAATATCAAACTTTGACTTATTTGAAAATCAAAAACATACTGCATATTTTTTATATTTATCTTCACCATAACAGTTCAAATCAATATTCATGTGAAAAAATAAATTATTTTACATAAACCAAATCATTGAGAAAAATGAAGAAATATATGTATATGAATTGTTTCTGTAAGTATTTTACACTTAAAGGCTAATGGAATTAAAAGTACAAAACAAAGATATTTCTGCATGTAAATTGCTTAATTAGCACTAACAAATTAGAAATGTATATAACTGAAACCTTTCTTTTCATATACTTGTTGCTATAGAAATCAACAGAGAACTTGAAAAAAGTAAAGAAGACTTAACCCAGAGCAACTTGAACCAGGCTTGGAAATTACAAAAACAGGCGGTAAGTTCTTTAAAAAAGGCATTTTGAAACTTTTCATTTCATAGGTCAGTCTTTTATGTGCAAGACAATTCTATTACTAAAGGCTATTAATATTTTCTACCAGGATGAATATTGATTTTTTTTACCTCACTAATACAAACGTATTGTATTGTCTTCTAAAACTGTGGTGATAGATTTCTTTAAGTGAACATCTTAAAAATGAAAAATATTTCCTAATACTATCTCATTCTGGATTAAATATTAACAGTTTTGTAGAATTAGGAGAAGAATCACAAAGTGATAGTCACTGTGAAACAAACCAGAAACTTAAATTTGGTAGTTCATTGATAGTTTTCTGTGTACAGTAAGGATTATTAGCCACGAAACAGACTTAATAAATATTCATTTTAGAATAGCATAAAATCTTAGCTAATTATTAGCCATGCAACAGACTTGATAAATATTGTGCATGACACAAGATTTTAGTGTCTTACATTTAAAATTTTATTAAACCTCTTTTTGTTTATGTTATACCAATTAGAATAGCATAAAATCTTACTAATTATTAGCCACGAAACAGACTTGATAAATATTCATTTTAGAAATATTGTATAATGTACACAACAGCACATTACATGCAGTTATATTTATGTAACAGTAAATTTAGGTAATGCATGTTTGTGTTTCTGTGTTGTGTAACTTAAACTGAAGCATTTTATATTGGAAAAATTAACTCTATTGCCCTGGGTATCCTTTACTGTGCATGACACAAGGTTTTAGTGTCTTACCTTCAAAATTTTATTAAAATACTTTTTGTTTATGTTATAGAATAGCATAAAATATTAGCTAATATCCATATTTTAATAGTATACAAGTTTTAAGTACTAAAATCTACAAGGGAATATTAAAAAAATCCTGAATTTCCACTAGTGTGACCCATGTGACACATTTTCTCTTAGTATGACATCATCCCTATTCTAACTATCACCCCTCGGAAAAGTATGAAATGTTAAATACTCTCTATAAAATCGTTATTGCTCAAACAAACCATAATTTTTATAGCCTTCAATTTTGTTTGGTTACAGAGCTATCGAATAGAAAATCAGACCCCTCCTGCCATACCCACCTGTTACATCCTCTCTTTCACAATTTATTGATAGTTCTCTCTTACGTTTCATTATGTATTACCAATAACCAATAGAAAGTCAAGGTTTTCATCTGTCAAATAATGTATTGTATAACGTTATGTTTTGAATGGTTAAATTTTAATTTCATTCAGAGTTCGAATTTCATTCCCGTGGGAAAGTTAATAACTAGCTTGGATGAAGTTGTAACAGCTCTTGTCGCATAGTTAGAAAGTCAGGAAAATTTTGAAAATTATGGGAATTTGTCTACTTTTTGCATGTTATTAGTTTATATTCTTTGGTGCATTATTTAATTCATTTACAACTTATAATGGCACACATAGTAGTTAGACACAGTTCAAAGAGCAATAAAACAATAAAATTTAATTATAAATAGATGTATAATGTTACGAACTTAGAACTACTTAGGATAAATAAATGTAGTTTCATTTTACAATTTGAAGTCATTCTAGAAAAAAATTTTGATTTTTTTTTTTTTTTGGTGGTTACCAGGTTGGTCGATTTGACCAATCCCATTTTGAGTTTTACTGGAAAAAAAACCATTTGAAATGCATTTAGGAGGTTTTTAGGGATTACACAAAGGAAATTATGAGATTTTTGAAATGAGGAAAAGTATTTTAATTTTAACATGAAAATTACTTTGCACAAGGACTGTTGAAAACAAATACTCAATATATTCATGGACATATCTTTATTTTATTTTGTTAAAAATACTTCACTAAAAAATATGATTTTTTATATGCAAAAGACTTATAATATGAACTGAAAGACTGCCAAATTTTGTGAAGATATACACACTATATTGAAAGCTAGAAGTATTAAATCTATAAAGACTAATTGAGTAAAAAGAGGTCACTTGGTTGGTCAGATTGACCGAGCCTGTGTTGAGAGAGTTAACTGGGCATTCCCATGCTCATAAATTTATGGAAACATGGAAGAAATTGTAATTTTCTTCATTTGGAAAAATGGCATGTCAAATATGTACAGTTTGTAATCAGTTTTTGAGGGGACGGTTTAGATGAAAACTTAATATATTTTATGTTTACAGTTTTATATCTCTACAACTTTGAAAATGTTTATGTAGTTAAAATATACTTTAGAAAATATTATATAGATTGTAACTTTGAGAGAATAAACTCACATTTTTAGATGTGCTAACAATTGCTACCTGATTCAATATTCTCTGTGATCTAATGAAAGTTTTTGAGCGGTTAACACATAGTGTAACTGACTTATATAACATCTGGATGCTGCTAGAAAATTTGTAATCCTAGTAGAACATGTATGTAAAGATAAGAATTTTATATGGTTAAATGCTGCAATGTGAAGTTTTCAAAAAGGTGGTACATGCTTGTACCACCAAATAATTACGTAAAATTAATAAATTAACTTAACATGTGTTCTAAGCTTTAATGAGATTGAAAGTAGTACATACTTTCTTTTAACAATACATTTGAATGTATATTTATGGACATAAGTTAAATAAAATGGTTCCATATTTGAATAGGAAGAAATTGATCATTGGAAGAAAAACTATAAAGATTTGGAGAGTCAACTTCAACATGCATCTGAACAGTTGCAGGAAATTCGAGCTCGTATAAAAGATGATGAAAACAAAGATCATGATCATAAGAACGTTGATGCTGATGCTCATATTGGTGATAATGATAAAAAAGCTGCAACAAAACTAGTCAATAGGATGAATGAAGATACTCAAGATAAAAAGGATAAAGAAGACAAGGTTGGTGGTTTCAATCAGAATGGGAATCATAATTATCAAATAAATAAAGATTGGAGTTTGCAAAAAGATGATAAAAACAAGGAAGATAAGGTGGTTAATGGGAAGGTTTAAAAGGATAACTCAATTTTCAGAAATATTACATAAAAAATATGAACTAAATTGAATAATTGGAAAAAAATTATAATGAATCATAAAAAATAAATTCTAAATGTATTGAAAAAAGGAAACCTAGTGGTTTGCAATATTTTTACAAACAAAGTATGAATTACCTAAAAATAAGTCAGTGGTATTAGTACAAGTACTGCCAAACACATCACTGTAAAGATCACATATTGTGAAAAAAAGGTAATTAGAACATTAATGTGATTGGCAAGGAACACTGTTTGAAAGCATTAATCATTAGGTCCATCTGCCACTTTTCTTGCTGTCATATTAAATTCAATTTCTTAATCACTAATTAGAGTTGGGTATTTCAAATCTCTGAGTTAAGTAAGAAAACATATTTGTAAGAGCATTCTGATATGGAAACTAAAATTGAAGCAATTAACTTGTTTTGTTCTTGTATGATTCTGGTACTGACTGTTTTGGATACTTAGTTTTTATCAGTTTCACTCATGCATAAAAATAATTATTTCATAGCACTTTTTGTCTGTTTCAGTTTTTCTTGCTTGAATAAATTTGAGCGACTACATATAATTAATTGTAAAGTTAATCACCATTTATTAAAAACTGAAATTGTGACATTTTAAAAATAATAAAGATCCCTTAGACTATTCTAATTTTTGGAAGTATTAGAAGCTGGTTTTAATCAATTTTATGAGTAAAATATTTAGAATATATAACAAGGAATGATGATATATTAAATTTAATGTATTCAGATTTTTTAATGGGCAACATAAATCTTAGACATATATCATTAAAATGAATAGAATAATTAGTTTTTAGATTGTTAAAACAAAAGGTTGTACAGTTTTAAGAAGATAGTGCTTTACATTACCATGTCTTTTTCCTTCAAAAACGTTTTTATAGAGGAACTCTTACTAAAAGATCCTTTGAGATTTCTTTGTTGTTTAAACCTTAATTAAAATATTGTAATTATAGACTAATACCATGATTAAAACTTCAAACACCAAAGTGATATGAAAAAAATTGTTGCTTCCATTTAGATATATTTTTGTGCGATAAGTATAGTTTGTTTAATAAACTTCATTTTTAATTCTGTTTTAACAATACTCTCTGAAAGAAACTAATATCAGCTTTATTTTTGGAGACTTAGTTGATTTACTCGTATATCTTGTGGCATTTATTTAATATATGTAATACACCTTTTAAACCACAATTACTTATTATTGCAAAACAACTGATTCTTTTAAAATATCACTTTGCCAAAATGTCATTAACCTTAGAACGTGTTTTATTAGAATTTTTCAGGAAATTTCACAATTACAACATGTGGATAGTTTTTTTTAGGTGAGAGTAACATTGTCTGTATAGGCAAGTAAAAAATAATGTTTGTTTTATAAATGAAAGGACTGAATTGGACAACTGCAAGTCAACTAAAACATTAGTATACAATCATGATTTTTCTTTCCTTTCACAAATCAGTTATTGTACCAACATTGGATAAAACTTGACCAAGTAATTGATATTAATGTATTAATCAGCTTTGTTTGAAGACCTTGTGATTCTGTTTATGCAGATATGTCTAACTAGTGCAATTAAAATATAATGTTTCTGCTTTTAATGTGGTTTTTAACACATTGCAGTTTCATCAGCATAGATAATTAGAAATCTTAAATGACTACGTAATAATTTTAGGAATTGAAACATGCTTAGATTAATAAAATAGACAAATTTGGTATCAAGTTTGTGTTTATTTAGTTTTTATATACTTGTGTAACTTTAAGAGAAATGTTATATTTAGTGTTTTTTTTTACCATAGTTATTGAGAATTGTATATTGACGTGCAAAGTATAATTTAGTTACAAACTATTACTTTTATATTTGTAGTAAAAAAAATTAATTGTGGTATTCAGTTTATATTGTTTTTTTGAAAAATTAACTATCATTAACTTTTTGATTTTGACTTTAATTTTTAAATCCCAGTGTATAATTTGAAAACTACAATTACATAAAGAATGCAGTAAATCTTCTTAAGCACATCTTAAGATAATTAGTCAGGTGACTTTGAGACACTTTTTTAGACAATTAGAGGGGAGTAATACTGACTTGATGAAAGCAAGATACCTACCTACATAGAGCAGATATAAAAATGACTTAATAATGAGTATAGCTTATATTCTTACATAAAAATATTAGAATGCATTGTCTTATTAGCTTTGAATATTCACTGTTTTTGTAGGTTTTTCAGTTTATTGTTATATTTGTTGTTTTTTAATTTTATACTGGTGTTCTATCCCATTGCTATAGTTTCATGAAATTGGTATTTTCTCCATTGGCATTACAAGATAAGCAAAGCATTCCACATTAAACATTCCATAACCTTGAACAAAGCTAAAGCTTTCCACAAATTCATAGACAAGATTGTTTCATAGTATTATTACTTTTAATTAAGTTAGACGTTTTTATGTTAATCATTTAGATAATATAATGGTACTAACAAATAATGTTTTACATTTTTAAACATTATATATACATGAATGAGAATACAAGGTTTTTGTGGTACTTATTGTTATGTATATTAGAAAACATAACACTGAATTATGTATTACTAAGCAGGCCCATAACATACTGCAACAAACTTAAAAACAATAACAAGATACAAAATCTTATTTTGCATTTGTTTTGTTAGACAAATGATACTTTATAAGAGCTAAAGAAGTTTAATTAGTGTCTTATCCGTTATTTTACTATAAAATACAGTACTTAGTAATCCTTTTAACAATAACATACTTTTTATGTCATACATATATGTAAAAACTGCACTAAAAGCACCTTTATCTGTAGAAGTATTTTGTTGTTCTTCCATGTTTTGATATTAGATTAACCAGAATTTATTTTTTGTTTTGCAACAAATGTTATTTAGTCGTTTTACTGCCTGTTTCTTTATTAACTGTTTATTTCTAAGTTATATCGGAGTAGTGAATGTGGTATAACTTGATTTTAGATTTTTCTTTGTTAAATTTGTTCAGTCTTGATCTGTTGTTGCATGGGCAAGATACCAGATTCTGTCATTTGATTTTTTTTATTGCCAGCAGTAATAGATAAATGTAGCAATGTACATAACTTGACACTAAAATAAAATTAGCTAAACTAACATTTATTCTAAGCACGTTTGATTTTCTTTAACTAATTAACATTTACAAATCTCCTAACCATTTTTTGGCGGTTTTAAAATGTTAAAACTGGAATACTTCTACATATTTGAATATTTATATAAAATTATTTCCATTACTTTGTTAAATAGTGGTTGTTTATTGTTTTGGAGAACTTGGCGTAATGAACCAATTTGTGACTGTATGGATAACATTACAAAATTATTGTTAGTTATAAAACAATTGCTTCTGATGATTGTGATAATATTGTAAGTGCAGTATATCCAGTTTTGTAATTTTGTTGTTTAATAAATTTCTTCTGTCTTGCATGAGTAATTTTTGTGTTTTCTGTTCGTGCTAGTGCATGCATTAAAACCACCTGACACATCTTTTAGTTTTCCCTAACTAACACTAATTATTTTATTAATCAAAAATTATTTTACTGAATTAAATAATAGATCAGATACTGTGTTAAAATTTCTTACTTGTGTTTTTTAAATTTTTAATGAACTTTCTGTTCTTTAATCCAAAGGGACAAATTACTGCAAAATTTTCTAACTTGTATGGAAAATAATTGCTTGAAAAATGAAATAAATGCTTCAATCTTAGTATTTTGTAAGATATAGTGAGATAAGAACTTTAATAGTAGTTTTAGTATTCTTTACATTTCTTCTTAAAAAATTCCTCTCACATTCACACAATGTATATATTATTGTAATGCCCCCTAGTGGCTCACTTGTAAGTCTCTGGACTTACAATCAGGTTTCAACACTCATGGCGGGTACAGCACAAATAACCCATTGTGTAGCCTTGTGCTTAACAACAAACAAACCAAAACTGTTGTCATTTATGTTTTTTTAGTTATAATTTAGAAATTATTGTTCTTTAAAAGTAAGATAAAAAGTTTAATAGTTGAAGACTTTTTATATTCTAATGTCATATAGAAATTGAAAGAACTTCTAATATATAATAATTATTGAACTTTCTCTTATGTGTAATTTTTAACGGCTGTGATCACACAGCTTTAAACCTTTTGATCACAGTTGCTATACTTGTGTATACCTATTTCGACTAAATATATTACGTATGCAGCTTTTATTGAGAAGTTGGCCATGCTTGACATAATTTTATGATAGACGACTTTTTCTTTTACTTAAATAAAGATAAGGCTATTTCTTTGTTGTTTAGTCTTACAAATAACTTCTTTTTATTTCTTCAGAGAAACAAAAGTAACAAAACTTGGTACTTACTTATAAGAAAGAAGTGGTAATCTCTTTGAAATTCCAGAAAGAACTTGTATTTACTACCAGCAGAATTTCTTACTTGATCTTGACTAATGTCAATTTATGAGTGAAAACTAAGGTTACTGAAGAAACACTATATGCAAGACCCCAGACACTGACTCGTCTATAGTACACTAGTTAAGAAAATTTTTCTGATTGCTCTACTTAAACTTGTTTGTGTTTCTATAAAGTTAATATTTCTTCGAGCTAGATTATTAGTTTAGTCTCTTTGTGCATAATTAACTAGAATAAATTTTGTATGTGAAATTAATTAAGACCCCAGACACTGACTCGTCTATAGTATACTAGTTAAGAAAATTTTTCTGATTGCTCTACTTAAACTTGTTTGTGTTTCTATAAAGTTAATATTTCTTTGAGCTAGATTATTAGTTTAGTCTCTTTGTGCATAATTAACTAGAATAAATTTTGTATGTGAAATTAA